ATATGTGATTAAAGTTAAAAGCATGCTAAAAGAACACTTTAGCTGGTGACCTGAAAGCACCTTTTGAAAAGCTTAACCACAACATTAGTGCATGTAGGAGGAACTTGATTTTTTCTCTGTTACAGACTGCATCTCAGGGCAACACTGCATACACCCCTCCTCCATCTTCAAAGAAAAACACAGACTGTTAGAACCAAGCTGCCCTAAACACAGGTGTATTCAATCCTGTTTTACACACCTGAGATTAACAGTTCAGAACTTAACTTTCTAGCACTGGGAAAGCAGTAAGAGGCTTAGTGCTAACCACCGAAACACACCAGTCACCAGGTGATTTGGAAATCTCATTATGCAGACAAGAGCATCAAACACTAAAAGTACCAGCCAGAACCTTCCCCTGCAACACACACACAAACACACCCATGCTGGGCTTATGTTACACTTCTTTAACAGAAACAAAGAGTGAAACACTGATCATTTACAACATTTCTCGTGATTTTGCAGAGGGTAGAAAACCACAGTTCCTGGCACAGACACATTAATTACTGACCCACAGGAGGCACTTAAATTTTGACTGGATCATCAGTGATGAGCAAAATCATGTTACTCACAAGGCCCCTCTTTGCTATCTCTGGTCTTTTAAGCTGTCAAATAACTGGAAAACTTTTGACAGATCATGGTGGCAGCGTGTTCAGCAAATACATCATAGTTTGTTGCGAGAGCATGGAAGTTATTTGCAAATCATTACCTAAGCATAAGTTCCACTTACATTTAATTTTGACTGTAGAAAGACTCTCTGGCTGTAATATAATGCTCTCCTCACGTCTGAATTAGTATAGCGGCTTCACCTTTCCCCTGTTTCCACATCACCTCTACAGAATTGCGTTAGGGAGCTAATACTCCAGCTTTGTTCTGTAGTGATGTCTTAAAGGGCTTTCCTGGTAGTTCTGTGGTAAAGAATCCTCCTGCCAATGTAGGAAACTCAGCTTCTATCCCTGAGTCAAGAAGATTCCCTGGAGAAGGAAATGGCAAGCCACTTCAGTATTCCTCCCTGGGAAATCCCATGGACAGAGGAGCCTGGTGGGCTACATCCAAGGGGTTGCAAAAGAGCTGGACATGACTTAGCAACTAAACAACATCTCAGAAAATAGCTTCACAGGTTGCCAAAGGAAGTGGTCGATGTGGAGGCAGCAAGGATCAAACAGAAGTCTATTTAGTTTTAATTCAGTGCGCCAATGCGCAAATCAGGAAGACATGAGCAATCTCGCATGTCAGAAATCTGAGAAGGGAACCTTGAAGAAGAACTCATTGAGAAATCCCTCAAGAACAACACACGATGTGGTATTTCACAGACCCTCAGCCTGGTAGAGAAGACAGACACCATAACAGCCCTGAACTGAGCTAATTTACTTTGTACAAGAATTACTGAAATAAATGTCAATTCAAGGGGAGGAGAGATGGCAGAACATCAGCCCAGACCTAAAACAAATGTAACAGCTTAATTCAAATACCAAAAAGCTGTTTTTAAATATGTTTTACTAGGAATATGCAGCATTGGAATTGAAATTACTACAATATATATAGGATGTATATATTGAGAATATATATATCCCAATAGGGAGTCTGCTTATCTTTAAATGTTGGGGATGAACCCTGCTTGGTATAGTTTGAGATTTCATTGAACCCATAACTCACCAAACCCACAAACAAGAAAAAGCACTGCCCTATACTACAACACAGGAAGTACAATCCTGTAGTCTCTGGTCTTTCTGCGTTGACAGAAGGCCCAGAAAGCCAGAAACCATATATTCTAATACATTATGCCATCCCCTTTTGCATGGATAGTTGACATTAGATAGTATCTATTAACACTAAGGTGCATCCCACAAGACATCATTTTTAAAATAAACTATGAACATCCTCACACATACAGGAATTTAGATCTTGCATCATTTTATATAAATGATGCTATGACTAAAAATATTTGTGAGGACAGACAGAACAGACTTATGGTTGCCAAGGGGAAGGGAGGGTGGGGGAGGAATGGAATGAGAGTTGAGGATTAGCAGATGCAAATTATCATATATATATATATGGATAAACAACAAGGCTGCATAGCACAGGGAACTATATTCAATACCCGTTGATAAGCCATAATGAAAAGGAATACAAAAAAGAATGTATGTATATAAATAAATCACTTTGCTGTACAGTGGAAATTCACATTGTAAATCAACTGTATTTAATAAATATATATATACACATATATTTGTGAAGCCATTTTTCCATTTGTTTGTCCACTAGGAAAACTATCTCATTGCTTTGTGATTGCCCATCCCCCAGCTTGAACAATTACTTCCTTCAGTTTGAATGTGATGAGGGGAGAACCCAAAAGTACAGCCCCAAACAGTATTTGACCAGCACTAGTATTGCTGGATTAAGTACATGGACTATCCTGAATGAAGGAACATAGCAACATAATAAGTTCCCTTTTAGTTACATCGTGTGTGTCAAAAGCATTCAGGCTCTGTTCTGTAAGTGTTATTTGTCCTCATACAGAATAGAAAAGCCTGTTTGCTTTTCTAACTTCTCCATGAAAGAGAACATCTGAAATACACGATGTGTATGATACAAACCTTCCCCAGTGGCAGGCATCCGCCTGCCAATGCAGGAGACACAAAAGACTCGGGTTTGATCCCTGGGTCAGGAAGATCCCCTGGAGGAAGAAATGGCAATCCATTCGAGTATCCTTGACTGGAGAACCCCTTGGACAGAGCAGCCTGCCGGGTTACAGCCCATGGGGTCGCAAAGAGTCGGACTCAACCGAGCACACAGATACATTATACACACACCACCTTCAGCTCTAGAACTACTTTGGAGGAAAATGGTGGTAACAGCAAATGACCTCCTTTAACAAGACACTCAACTCAAACAGTGCCGTTTAGTTCAGGAGATCTCTAAATGTAGCTGTTGATCTGGGGTTTCATTTGGCTGATGTTGTACCTTTTAAACGAAATAATGATTTTTAATGCAATAAAAAGAATCCATGAACATATACCATTTATGAATCTGGCATCAAAATCATAGAAGTGTTCATTTTAAGGACATAATAGGCTATTGTGTTAAAGCCTTAAGAGTTCAGGGTGGTCATAAAGTCTGGAAATTCGCAACTATTTTCCATTTTTTACTATGTCAGGTGACCAAGGAATGCCTTCCTGGGGAGAAGGATTCCAAATAGATGGCACACCACTCATTACATCAAGCTCAAAAGTAAAGTTAGATGAGAATTTCCAAAGAAAGTGGCTACACAGAACGCTTTTCACACTTGCGGGATCTCAACCTACTTGACAGCCATGTCTAGGAGCACTCTAAAACCACAGGTGCATTTAGTGAAAACCAAGCTCAATCACAGATGCTCATGCAGGGAAATGGGTGGAAATTGACGCATTGTGCTCTTCTAAGTTTGCCCGGCACACTCAACTAGTGAGGCACAACACATCAAACAGATCATGGTTTAAGACATGACATCAAACCCCCTTTTTCAATGCATACTCGCCTAGTTTCCACCCGTTGTGACCATCTTATAATCTGACACAATGAAGCTGCCAGACTCTCTGGGTGCTTGACATATCCAGGATTTTCACCAATGTGAGGATGCCTGACATCCCTCTGGATGAACACATCCCAGCTCAAGGAACTCTGCCCTCTGAGTGGTTTAGCAAAGTGCAAACTCAGGCCGCAAAGGGCAGGCCTGGGGTTAAGAGTTAAATGCATTTCCCTAGAGGACACAGGCTGTAGCTGACGCCTCGCTGGCTGACACAGAAAAGGTCACCTGGGAAAACTTCTCATCTCTGATGTTCCCTTGGAAGGCCCGCGAGGACAGAAGCCAGGGTGAGCAGATTGACTACTACCTTTTTATGAGGCAAGCCTGTGGCCCTCACAAGTCAGAACCACAAAACATAACCTTGCAGCAGGAATCACCACCTTAACCCAAACCTGCTACCTCCCTGCCATCAAGGCCAGCCCGGGCAAAAGATTAACCTGTGATCTGTGACCATGGGTTCACTGACAGGGCCAACTTTGTTGAGAAAGAGGGAATGCGCCAACTTTCTGTTTGTTTTAAAGGAAATACTTCCTGGCACATGTTTGGTAAAGACTCTGAACTCTGCACATGAAGCCACGTGGTTGGATCTAATCTGGCTCTATCCACTTAACGATCGGCCAAAGCAACGTCCTTCTGAGGGTAGCCCCTGGCGGGTAATCGGCAGGGTCTCATTCAAGTCACGCGGCTCCAACCGGATCCCAAGGAGCCCAGCGCCGCGTTCTGTCGGCGCTGCAACCCTCCCGCGCGCCGCACAGTCCCCGCAGGGCCCAGGGGAGGCGGGGGACGGGAAGGAGGGGGGCGGTGGGAGGAACTGGACCGGAGGTGCCCCTTTCAGCTGCAGCAGGAAAGGACTCCCAGCTCCGGCGGCCCAGGTGAAGCTCGAGGGAGCCGCGTAGGAGATGCCAGCCCTTCCAGGAACGCCGACGCTGCCACTAGCAGAATGCGCGGGCACACTGCTTACGGAGCCCACCTGTAGCCACAACAAGCAAACTTTCCTCCCCTTCTGAGTTGGAAGAATCGGGTCCCTAACGCCACCCCCTGGCCCGAGCCAGCAATACGGCTGGGAGCTCCGCGGGATCCTCACCTGATACCCCTAAACCCCCAACTCGGTGTGTTTCAGGGCGCAGACCCAGTTCTGCCTAGCGCCACGGTGGGGTGTGCAGGGGGGGAGGGACTGGGGTGTCAGCTGGGTATTATGAATTTGTGGGGAGAGCCGGAGGACGCCGCTCACTAGCCTTTGCAACTCCAACTCCCAACTTTGCCAGCCACCCAGCCGCTGCCCTCCTGTTCCTCTGCGGCGCGCACTCGGCTCCCCCGGCTTCTCCAAGCCTTCCTTGAAGGAGAAAGCCCCCCCCCGCCCCCCAAAGTCAGCGGATTCCCGCGCGCCCGGCGGACTTACAGCCATAGCGAGGTCTCTGCAGGGACGGCTGGTCCTCGTGGGGCATCCTGCGAAACTCTGGGGGCCCGCCCGGGGCGCGCCCCCCGCGACTCCCCTCGCTGGCCAGGCTCGCCGCTCCGCGCCCCGCCGGCGCGCTTGTATCCGGCTTCTGGCTGTGCCCGCCTGGCCGCCGCGATAGGCGCCCCGCTCGCTCGGTGCGCCCTCGTCAGCGCCCGCAGCCGCCGCCGCGCGCTGACACCCGGGCAAAAGTGAACTCTCCTCCCCCGCTCGCTCTGGGCCGCCGCCGCCGCCTCCCGGGCAGGTTTCCTTTCTCCCTCCAGCCCTGCCCCGTTATCCACCGCGGTGGGAGCGCGCGCCGCGGCGCAGCGACCTCTATCGCCCACGGGGCGCAGCGCCCGGGCGCCTGGGCCCGCCCCCGTCCGGCCCCGGGCTCGGAGGAGGGGGCTGCGCGGCTCCTGGGCCGGGATCCCCTGCAGCTGGGGCCCGCGGCCGCCCCGCCTGCTTTTTCACTTATGGAGCCTTAAGAGGGTGGAAGTGAACCTCCGCGGGAGAGAGCAAGAAAAACCGCAGAAGATACAGCCAGCCCCAGCCGTCCGGGGTGTTGCTCAGTTACAGAGGGACAAACAGCGTGGTTCCTTTTCCTCTGGGGAGATTGCGCCTTGACATTTTTTTGTTTTTTTTCGCTGCAAACGTTGTTTCTGTGACTCCTTTTCTATAAAATACAGGGTTCCCCTTTCATGACCAGAAACTGAGAGTGTGTGTCTGCTGGAGGGACAAGATAAACACTCCCCGAGCAACCACTCAAAACACCATCCTGGGCTCGCCTTCGGCCCGCTCCCCGCCCCCAAGTACAGAACTGTGGCCCAGCCCAGCTGGGGTCGACGCCGCAAAAACCTTTTCCGGCTAAGCTTTTAAGGAAATTAAACTGCATGTGGCAGTTTTTAAAGTTTTGTTTTTTTTTTTTTAATGCAGTCACCTGGAGCTGTTTTTCTTGTGTTTTTCTCTGTGTCTCAGAGTGATAAGATTTGGAGGCATGTGGGACTCTTCTATACTCGTGACCTCACGTGCTTGTCAAAAGTGGAATGTATGGGTGACCAGATGGCTGGTCAAATAAAACAACCCAGGTGGGGATATGACATGATTTTATTGGAGAAAAGGTGGCATAGTGACACTAAGCGTTTTTAAGTCTGCGTAGATCGGGGTGGCCAGCTGGCTTCCGACTCACTCCGGAGCTATAGTCCTTCTCACACTCGTGGAAACTCAGATCCCTGGGCCCCATCCTCAGAGCTTCCAGTTCAGTTGGGTCTGGAACGGGACTCAAGAATCTGCATTTCTAACACGCTGCCCTGTGATGATTGAAAAAAAGCACGAGGGATCTCAGTTGGATTCAGGGGAATGTGTTCTGATGAAAGAGCAAGGGCGTTCTATCCCTCTCCCCGGCCCCCCCCAAACCCCCACTGGAGTCATGAGATTCTCAGCGGGTTAGAATGGGTTGAGTGGGAGGTTTCTCCCTAAAAAGCAGAGGCCTCTTCTTATAAGAGCAATTCACAGGTGAAATAATCACATTTTGAGGCACAGCACCCTGTCAGCGTTCAGCGAGACAGGGGCATGTTCAAGGGGAATTTCCTGTGTTTCTGGACATGCTGAATTGGATATTTAAAGTTGATTTCGTCTCAATGATTCCATGTATTAAGTACTAACAACTAAGCCCTTACTCACACATTATCAATTTTCAGAATGAGTGTATGATTTAGGACCCAAATAAATGGGTAGTCTGTGTATTTAAAGGTTTCCCTGGTGGCTCAGATGGTAAAGAATCTGCCTGCAGTGCGGGAGACCTGGGTTCGATCCCTGGATTGGAAGATCCCCTGGAGGAGGGCATGGCAACCTACTCCTGTATTCTCACTTGGAGAGTCCACATGGACAGAGGAACCTGGCAGGCTACAGTCCATGGGGTTGCAAAGAGTCAGGCATGACTAAGGGACTCTTTTTTTTTTTAAATGTATTTAGAGGTAGGAGGAAAATCACTGTAAACCAGAATGGTCAAGGATGATAGCATTTGAACATATGGTTTGAGGTGGACCTTGAAAAAATGGGTAAGAGTTGGATGCAGAATGTCCAGTTCTGAAGGACAGGCAAGAACAAGGGAGAATAGGGGTGGTACCTGAGGCTGGCTGAGGGTGGGAGCTTTGAAGCTGGTTTCAGATCATGGAGGACACCGAAGGTGGGCAAAGAGGACGGGTATTATCATAGAAGCATTTGAGAGCTCAAAGTTTTAGGGCATGGGGGCAGCATGAAGCAATAGAACTTAGGGAACAGGAATCTTGCAGCACATGGGTGGATGGGAGGGGGGCAGCTAGGAGGTATTGACACCATGTGGAAGGGGTTCTGGCAGAGCTAGAAGAGGGAATCGAGGAGTTTCAGCGAGGCTGATCTGAGGCCATCAAGACTGAAAGAGAGAGTTTTAATACAAAGCAGTTGGTGCCATCAAAATATAAATATCACCAAGTGTAATAAGTAAATATCTGTTAATGGTAGAAGGTGAAGATTAAAACAAAAATAGGTGGCCTGCAGGAGAGTGGTTCTAAGTTCACATTCCAGCTGTCAGCTCGTCTCTGAAGGCTCTGGGGAGGTTTCAAAGCTCTGTCATGGCTAACGTTTCTATGGAAAACTTAACGCTAAGAAGAAATTGTAAAAGCAAATGCTCTTGATTTTTTTGCATGTGCTGAAATTAGTCTTTTGGATTTCAGTCTGTGTTCACTGGGTAACACTACTATCTCACAGATCACTTCTCTGCAGTATCTCAGGAAAGAAACTTGTCTGCAGAATTCTGGGCTATTTTCTCTTAGGGTTTGACCCTGGAGGAGAGTGATTCAAATAAACACAAGGCAAAGTGCCAGCTTACTTTGCCATCTGACTGTGCTTGCACAAATATTAAAACAAAAACTGAGGCCATTTAATGAAAAATGTTTTTTTAATAAACCAAGAAGAGTTTTTTTCTTTAATGTAAAAAAAAAGATGACACTGGAAAACTACTAGACCTGGTAAAACAATTTTTTAAGCCTATTATATTATTTTCCAAAAATATTTTTTACTTACCCATTTGGCAGTGCTGGGTCTTAGTTGCGGCACATGGGATCTTCAATCTTTGTTGAGGCATGCAAGATCTAGTTCCCTGACCAGACATCAAACCCAGGCCCTTTGCATTGGGAGCCCAGAGTCTTAGTCACTGGACAACCAGGGAAGTCCCAACATTATTTTTAAAATGATTGTTTTCAGAGGCCATCTGTCTCCTGATTAATTGAAATGAGTTGTTTGAAAAAGAAATGCAAATTTGTTTTTATAACAAAGCAGACTATTTACATCAAGAGCATCAAACAGGATTTTTAAAGTATTTTTGAATAAAGATCATGGCATTTAACATTCCAGCCACCTTTGAAATGATCTGGTCATTTTCTAATAATATCATGTTATTGATCATTTTAACATTTTTACCGAATAGTGACCAATGTGCTTTCCAAAACACCACCCAAAAAAGTGAGGTATGAAGAAATGACAGGAAAGAAATTATTCAAGCCTTTCTCAAAGTCCTAGAAGACTTTGGGTTGTTAAAATTTTCTAACTTATTCCCTGTCCCGGAAAAAGATGCTGAGCAGGAGCAGGATTTGCATTTTATTGCAAAAGAGACCACTGTACCTAAAAAAGAAATGTTACAGTCCAACGTAAGATTTCAAAAAAAAAAAAAGAAGAAGAAGAATCCAAACAGAAATAAATGTAACAGCCAGTGTTTCAGTTCTCAAAAACAAAAGCCTGGTAGTCATGTCAGGGTAGAGGATAACTGTAGAACTGGTGGCCTCTACGCATCATTTTATGGCCAAGTAATAGAGTGGTATAGAAAATTTGCATGGTTTCCATGGAAGAAAAGAACCTAGTGACATGTCAAGTCTTCTGAGAGTCTCTGCCCATTGCTTTTTCTATTGTACATATTTTTGTTTTTAGATACATATATCTATTTTTCAATGAAGTCCTTTTTTCACTTCACTGAAGTCCATAGCTTTGGACAACTTTGAAATACTTTTGTCATCGTTAAATAGGCAAGCCTTCTTAGCAATCTTGCCTTTTTCTCTTTGCTTTAAAGTTCTAAATAAATTAAAGTTTGGAGAGACTGAACTTTAATTTTAGTAAAAAAGTAAAACCATGCATAGTTCCATTATTATTTTTCCCATTTCACAGTATAAGAAAGTTAGAACTCCAGTGTCTGAGAAGATGAGCCCCAAGGTAGCTGGAAATGATGAGGAAGAGAAAGCAGCATTGACCTCAATGGCCCCTTCACCATTTATCCCTTTAGCCTGCATTAACCTTCTCTGTTGAATTTATCATCTAACATAGCATACACTGGATCATTTGTTTATTGTTTGTCACCTCCCTCAAGAACATGAGCTTCTTGAGAGCTGGGACTTGGTCTAATTCTCCAATCTGTGTGCCCAGGCTTCCAGCAATGCCTGGAATATAGTAGTTGCTCATGATTTGTTATAATCATGAATTTACTAAATACAGGTATGGATTAATACCAGGCATTATACTAGGAATAGGTGCAATTTTCAATCTGTAGCAACTCTGTGAAGAGCTTACAGTTATTCTCACTTAACAGTGAAGAAATGGACCCAAAAAGTCAGAGAGTACAGTAAATGGCGGTGCTGAGTTTACCTGAATCCAAGCTCCCCCCAACACAAACCCCATCTCCTGTTCTTTAAACTAATAAATTGAACTGCAAATTTCAACATGCTCATCTACTAAATGCACGTTCCCTTTTCCCAAATTAACACTAAAGGAATTGCTATAAATGCTACCAAATCACCATCATCTATTTGACATCACAAAGAACTAGGGACCTTGGGGTCCAATTTGTGTCCCAGCAGTAGCTCTAACTATCGTTTTACTAAAATTCCTCTGCATTTCCCCGTTGGTTTTCAGATAAGATCTGAAAGGGCTAAGGGCTCTACCACATACCTGTAAAGTTGTCCCAAATTCAGCTTTTAAAATTATGCATGATTTCCCATTAACTAGAGCTTTAAG